GCTCCATTCCCCACCCACTAGTCAAGACCCCGGCACAGGGGAACACGCAGAGCCCAGACGTGTTCCCCCAACCCACAGAGGGGACAAAGGGGCTGCACAGAACCAGGCAGCCCACCTCACTCCTCCTGCCACCCCCCAGCAGCCCCCGGGGCTCACCCGTGGCCCACAGCCAGTCTGGGGCCCACTGCCGGGTGAAGAGCCCGTCCCCGAGGTCGCGGAAGAAGCGTTTGAGGGTGTTGGCCACGTCGTCCACGTGGTGCTCGCCCTCCTTCAGGCGGACGCGGCGCGCGTCCCGCTGCAGCACCTCCAGCAGGCTGGTGGTCTTGGAGTTCTGCCCGCTCTTGCGGTAGATGCCTTCAGATGTCAGCCCTGCGACAGAGCCAGCAGGGGTGAGACCCCCTCTGCGAGGGACAGGCTCCAGTCCTGGCCCACCAGCTCCCCACCAAACACCACCAGACGCCGCGGAGCGTCTCATCCCGCAGGTGTTCCTGACCAGAGCCAAAGCCCTGCCATAAGTGGAGCCCTCCCACGGAGCTGGTGCAGGCGCTCAGGGAGGGAGGGAGGGAAGCAGGGTTCTCAGGGAGGGAAGCAGGTGTCACGAGCGCTGGGTTCTCAGCCTGCCGTGCCCCAGGGAGGGGGTTGCCCCCCGCAGCCGGGCGCTGTCCTTACCGCACTGCGTGATGTAGTCGATGCAGCGATCCACCAGCAGCGGCACGTCCGACTCCGTCAGCTGCTGCTCCGACAGGGTGTCTCCTGAGCTGCCCGCGGCCTTCTGGATGGCATGGACCCAGCCCAGGAAATCCAGCTTCCGCTCCCCTTGGATGTACAACGTCCTGCCGGCACGACTGGCCTCAGCAGGGGGCCAGGCGCCCCCCCGGACCTCACTGTGTGTCCAGGACCCCCAGGAAGGCTGGCCCTGGGGGCCCGCAGGTGGTCCCAACTCAATTTTGCGGATCCCCAGTCGTGGCAGGGAGAGTAAAGACACCCCAGAACAGGCAGGGGCTTGGGTAGGGTGTAGTATTTTGCTGGGGGGCATCTCATCTCCCCTACTCTCCCTTCTTACCTCCGCCTCTCCACCAGCACCAGCACCTCGTGGTCCCCCTGGATGGCTGGAAGGGAAGGAGCCCATCACCTACGGGAACATGGGGCACCCAGCCCCCCTAGACCCACGTGCTGGGGGATTCTGTGCCAACAGGTCCACCTCCAGTCCAAACGGGACAAGCAGGGATGGGGAAGAGGATGGAGAGGGAGAAGAGGATGGAGAGAAGAGGATGGGGATGAGGAAGAGGATGAAGAGGAGGAAGAGTGACTGCATCCCCTCTCATCCAAGAACCACCGAGCTCCATGGGAGCAGCACCCACCAGCCTCCCACCAAAAGCTGAGTGGACCCTGGGGGAGGATTTGGGGGACACCCCCTCCCTCCCGGGCAGGGGGTCCACGCACAGAGCTCCTGCAGCTTGCGCAGCTGGAGAGGCTCCTGCCGCTGGCCGTCCTCGGAGCAGACGTGGAGCGTGGAGCCGGCCAGGGCGAACCAGCCCTCCTGGGTGCGCTCCAGGGTGAGACCCCCCTTGTAGTGCAGCCGGCCCAGCCGCTCGAAGTCCAGCACCAGCAGCTCCTCGGCACAGGGATGGACGAAGGACTGAGCCGGGGAGGAGAGGGACCCATCAGTGCCGCCGCACCCGGCTGCCACCAGCACCCACGGCCGCCCCAGCCCTCCCTGCCCCACCTTGGCAATGGACTTGAGCCATTCCCGAGCGGAATCGGAGCTCTCCAGCCCGAAGAGGTAGAGCCGCTCTGCCTCGGTGCACACCTCGAACGTGCTCTCGATCCTGTGAGGGAGGAAAAGGGGAGCCTGGGGTGGGGTGAAGCGACAGGGGTGTCCCAGGGCTGGGAGCATCCTGCTGCACGGCTGCCGATGGCTCTGCCAATGGCTGGTGGGGTGTGGGATCCCCCACCATGGCCCCGGGCCCTCCAGCCATGCTGCCATGGCAGGGCATCGGGCACAGGGGTCACAGAGGGGGTGGATGCAAAGGAGTTGGGACGGGGTTGCAAAGGGGTTACAAAGCAACTGCAAAGAGGTTGCAAAGGCGTACAAATGGATTGCAAAGAGGCTCCGAAGGGGCTGCAAGTGATATACACACACATCCTGCAAAGCCACTTGGTTCAGGGGCCACTGGTGGGGCTGGGGACTGTGCTCTCCTCATGCCACCCCCCATGGGTGCTGCTCCAGTGGTGTGGGCTCTGCAGGAGCAGAGGTGCTCCAGTTGGGTGCTCCGGGGGGGCAGGGCCTTACCCGTGGGTGTGGGGCGGGTTGTTCACCAGGCAGACGATCTCCTCCACGCGGATCTCGCCGTTGGGGACGGCGTTGCGGTCGTTCTCGTAGTAGCTGAGCAGCCCGTCCTGCAGCGTGCACCACCGCCGGCTGAACTCTGCGCGGCACAGGACAGCGCTGGGCAGCCCCCCGAGCTCTGCCCGGCCCACACAACCACCCAACCAGCCTCAGTGGTCCAGCAGCACCCGCTGGGTGCCCACCTGACGCGACCCCCCTCGAACCAGGCGGCACTGCGCTTCCCCGCTGCCTTCCCACTGCCTGAGGAAGCAGGGGAGGGTGTGATTCCCCCTCTCAGGGCTGGCTCCAAGCCCCCCAGTCCCCTGTATCCCCATCTCCCTGCCTCACAGACCCCCACGTACCTTCCAGGCCCTTCCGCTCGCTGACGGGCTTGGCCATGGAGGGGGTCTTGTAGAGGAAGCCACTGTGGGTGACGGAGGGCAGGGGCACAGAGTAGGGCCTCTCCTCGCTGCCCACCATCTCCAGGCGTGGCAGCTCTGCAAGCAGGGAGACCAGTCTGTTATGGGGGGCTGCAGCCCCCTCCCCAGCCCCGGGAGGCAGCTGGGTCTCCCCCATCTTGGCACGAGACACATCCCACAGGCTGCACCCCGAGCTCCCACCAAGGAACGGCACCAGTCTCCAAATCCAGGGCTGCCTGGGAGCCAGTGGGGTCAGGCTTATCCACTGGGAGACCATCCTGCATCTCCCACATTCTGCATCCCCCCCGCACCCTCCCTAAGCACTGAGCTGGGACGGGATGGGGACAACATGGAGAGGTTGGGACCAGGCTCCCCTACCACTGAGATCCCTCCTAGGCTGTCCCAGGTTCCTGCTGCTCTGTGGGAGGAGCAGGGCAGAGAGTCATTGTCCTGCAGCTGAAATAACAGGCCGGGGCTCTGCCACTGCCTCCCCATCTGACCACAGTCACTTCCCCCTACCTCAGTTTCCCCACCTTGCCTGCCAGCAAGAGGCATCCCCCATTTTCTCCAGGATGAGGCAGAGATGGGGTGCAGGGACACCCCTAAAGCATGCCCGGGTCAGAGCATGGAGTGCCTGGAGCTCTAGAGAGGGGGAACCCAGGAGGAGGCAGGTCCCTACTCCCCCCTCCCAGCGCTGCTCCTCTGCAGATTGCTGGCCCCAGCAAGACCAGCCCAGCGTTGGATTCCTCCGGCTCACCGGGGCGGCTGGGAGTCCCCGCAGCTCTCCCAGATCCCTTTAGTGCTGACATGTCAGGGAAGAGCCGGGCCAGCCCCAATCCTGGGCAAATTCCAACTTCCGCGGGACGGACTTGGCCGCGAGGCGGGGAGGGAGGGGAGGGAGGGGACGGCTGCGGCGGGCGCTGGCTGCCCCCCACACCTCCATCCCGCCTGCCCAAGCCTTCTGAGGCTGCCGGGTATGCCTGCAGCACGGTGCTGGGACGGTGAAGGAACACTGCCTCCTGTCCCTCCTGGTGTCCGCAGCACCAGCCTGCATCCCCAGCGGGACTCCAAGACCCGAGCTCCCAGCTGGGATGGACCCCCCAAGGGCACAGGAGGTGCCCCAAAGCTCCCCTTCCCTCTCCCGGGGTGCCCAGAGCCCCAGCAGTGCCAGCAGATGGAGAGCCCCCTGCCAGGGAGCTGCTGGGCAGGACACAGAGCTGGGACCGGCTCAAAACACGGCTGTGTCCCCCAGGACGCCCCAGCAGCAACTCCAGGAATGCTGTTGGTGGGTTTGAGCCCGTGATGGGGTTTCAGGGGGGTCAGCCCTTACCCGAGGTTTTGTTGTGGAGCAGGAACTCCATCTGCAGCCGCTGCCCACTCCTCTCGGCCAGGGCCAGCGGCGTGGGGCACTGGGAGTCCCCGGTGTCACAGGTCACCGACGCCCCGCAGAAGAGCAGAGCCTGCGTCTCCTTCAGGTCGCTGGTGGTGACGGCCACGCACAGAGCCTGCAGCAGCGCCAGGAGGAGGGTGGTGAGACCACAGGCTCCCGAGGAGAAGGGAGAGACCCCCCAGCGAAAGGAGCCAGGTGAGCGCAGCGAGCCGCCGGACCCCCGGCCGCCTCCCGGCCGCCCGGGCAGGACAAAGGAGGCTCGAACTGGAAGAAAAAGTTTGGAGCAGGCAGCGAATCCCTCCCTTAAGGAGCCGGGGTGAAGTCATACGGCAGCAGCGGGGCGGGACGGCCGGGCCGGAGTAGGAAAACAAACAAGCCCACATGCGAATTCCCGCAGCCTCCGGAGTGCCCCCAGCGCTTGTGCAAACACCAGCAAAGCCGCGGCAGAGCCCAAGCCGCGGCGGCGGGACGGGAGGCGAAGGCCGGCGGCCAGAGTGCCAGGATGGCATTCCCGGGTGACGCCCTGGTCCGGCACCCTGCCAGCAGCCGGCACGTACCTGGGGGCCGGGAGTGCCGGGCAGGAGCTCTGGAGAGGGTTTTCGAGTTGCCTCAACCAGTGTGTGCCACCGGCACCGGCCCCCTTGAGCCCCATCCAGCCCAGGGCTGGGCCCCCAAAACAATTTCCACGCCAGGGAGAGGCGAGCCCTGGGGCTGTCTGGGCTGTGGGAGGGGGATCCCGCTCCAGACAAAGCTCTCCAGCCTGGACACGAAGCTGGCTGTGCCCCATCGCAGAGGTGTCACCCTGTCCTCACAGCTGGCTTGTCCCTCCTGGAGACCTCAGGCTTTGGCTTGGGATGCACAGTGGGGACTTAGGGTGTGCACTGGGGGCTCGGGGGATACAGGCAGGGATACAGGCAGGGATGGTGGGCAGTCTGCTCGGGCACAGACCCCACTCCCCAAAACAGCCCCAGGACCCAGCTCAGCACCACTTGGGCCCCAGGCAGAACCCCCAAGCAGGTGCCCGGCCCCGGGGGCCACTGACCCTGTCGAGCTCCTCCTGGTTGCCGAAGAGCGGGTGGTAGTGGCGGTACTTTCCCTCCCGGTATTTGGCGATGAGGAAGCGCCTCCTCTCCTGGCTGCCGCTGGTGGGGCCGATGGCTTCGCTCGGGGGCACGTTTGCCGCCCAAAACTCGTTGGCCATGGCATTGCCAAACTGCTGGAAGAGCTACGGGGACAAGAACAAGGACAAGGAGATGCCGATGTGACCGTGCTGGAGGGGGTTTGGGGGGTGGAGCTCGGGGAGGGCTTTGCTGGAAGCAGGGGGGTGCTGCCCAGGAGAACAGTGGGATGCAGGAAGAATTGGGGGGGGAGAGCTTATAGGTGTTGTGGGGTGAATGGAGAGCCTGGGTGGGCAGCGTGCAGGAGCACCCACCCACTGCAGGCATGCAGCATCCGACAGCCCCCGCAGCCGCTGACCCCCCCTTCCTGCCCCGGGAAATCACATCTGGGAAAGCAGCGCCCAGCTGTGGGAGGCGGGGTGGTGCTCAGCATCCAGGGGGGCAGATTTAAAGGGCGCCTGGTGGCCCCTGGCCATCCCACTGTCCACGCTGAGCAGTGCCATTGAGAGGTTTAGCCCTGTCTCAGGGAGCCCCGCATCACTCAACGCGGGGGGCTCTGCCAGCACCCTCAAGCTCTTTGGGGTGGGGCGGGTGCATGCGGGGGTCGAGGGGGGGCGGCGCGGGCGGGAAGCCTGGGGATGCTGGAGGGGTTTCGGGCAGCGTTCCCAGAGAGGGGAGGGGAAAGGGAGCAGCCGCAGGCAGCAGCTGGAAGCGTTTGGGAGCTCGGGGAGCAGGCAGTGCCGGAGGCGGGGGCTGCGCGGGTGGGACGCCAGGCAGGAATGAAGGATCTGAGCAGGATGGATGGGAAGAACGGAGCCAGCCAGGCTCTGCCGGCGAGAAATGGCTGCCAGGTTAGGTCTTGGAACGAATCCCAGCTCCTCCGCCCACCCATTCCCGGCTCTGGCTGCACCGACACATTCCTCCACGCCGGCGGCCGGAGGGCTCCGGGGACTGCTCTGCCCTTGGCCCCACGCCGATCCCACAGCCATCTCCCCACGGCCACTCCAGCGGCTCCACAGCCATCTCCCCAGGGACACACAGACACCGTCTGTCTGTGGTGTAGGCACACAAGTGCTGCCTGTCGTCGCTGGAATGCCAGGGGTCCACAGGGACAGGGATGAAAGGCTGCTGGGGGTCCCCGCCCCAGCCTCCAGCCCGCAGCCAGCGGCTCCACCGTGGGAAGGGAACAGGGTGTCGTCCCCCCAAAAGGGCTTTTGGGGGCTGGTCTGTGCCAATACCTTGATCAGCTCCTCAGTCCACACCTTCCTGTCCATCTTCAGACTCCGAACTTTAGTAATGCCAGGGCCCAATCCCCGGTGCTCCCCTGCCAGCAAGACGAGCTGTTAGGGACTCGTTTTGGGGTGGGAGAGGTCTAGGGGTCCCCGGGGATCCCCATTTGTGGCCCCCAGGATGCGGGTACCTGCACATCTCTTGCAGATGACAACGCAGAGGTTGATGGAGGCCCATTCAGGCTTGGGGGAGCCGCAGTCAGCACAGCAGCGGTTGGACTCCACTGCCCAGATCCTCTCGGCCACCTCGGAGTTGGAGAGCGCCTCGGCGATGGACTGCTGCATGGCCTCCACCCACTCCTCCTTCTCCTGCTCCGAGTCAGCGGAGAAGCTGCCGGGGGGACGGGGGTGAGGTACAGCATGGCTGGGGGTGGGCAGCACCCCCGGCACGCCCTCCCCACCCCGGGCTCACCTGAAGATTCTGTACGGCGTGGTGAGGTCGAAGCCCCGCCGATCCACCTCCTTAACGTTCCCCACGTTCATCTCAATGTAGGTGATGCCAATCCCCAGCCGATAGTCCTGGTGGGCGAGGGCAGGGGAGGGGTGAGGGGGCAGCAGGGACCCCTCTGGAGCAGGGAGGGGATGATGGGATCCAGTGCCCAGAAGCTGGGGTAACCATGTCCCTTCCCTGCCCAGTTCTCATCCTTGGGGCACTGCAGACTCCAGGGCAGCTACTCTGGGTATGATGCTCCTGGGGGACCCCAAGGCTCAGAGCCAGCGGGGAGCAGGGGCTGTAGCTCAGAGGTCACCACACTGTGGGATCTGTGCTGTCCTCATTAGAGGGGTGGCAGGCCCGGGTGCCCCGGTTCACCGCTGCTCTGCTCAGGCCGTGAGCAGAAAGGGAAGGGGTCCCCCACGAAACAGCCTCAGGGTCCCTCTTAGTGCCGCAGTCCCCCCAGCCACCCACCTCTGCGTTCTTGTAGAGGAACACTTTGTCCCCAGCCACCACCACAAAGAGCTTGTGCTTGAAGCCCCGCAGCTCCAGGAAGCCGCTCCTGTCGGCTGGCTCAGGGGCACCGTCGGTGGCCAGGGACATCAGTGTCCTCTCCGGAGCTTTGCTCTTCCGCTCCTCTGCAATCTGCTGCAGGGTCCGGATCCACTCGTTACGCTCCGCTGTGGGACCAGACGGGAGACACATCGGGATCAGCCCGGAGCCACGAGCCAACGGGACTCATCCCATGGGCTGGGGAGGGGGAGCAGCCGGGGAGCAGGGACCCCCAGTGCTCACCATCGCTCTCGGCCCGGAACACGAAGTTGCGGTTGTTGGTGACGACCTCGAACTTCTGGTCCCCGACGCTGGTGACGCGGGAGATGGAGGAGACGGGAATGAGCCGCTTGGAGTAGGCGTCCTGGGGCAGGGAGTGGGGAGACACACCGCTCGTCTCTGGGCCTCGGGGACACGGGGGGGGTTGTCCAGGAGGCTCTGAGTGTCCCACATCTCACCCCAGCCACGGCTGGTCCCTGGGAGCAGCCACACCTCCCAGCTGGGGTGCCCAGAGGAAGGTGGCCTTGCTGGAGCAGTTCCTCTACCACCTACTCACCCCGAACCCCCAGACCTGTCCACCCACCTTTTCACTGTCAAAATAGCGGAGGTAGTCAGCGTCCAGCTTCACCCAGCGCTTCTGGTAGATGTAGGACCTGGGAGGGGACCAGAGGGACCCATTGGAGGGGATGCCCTTGAACTCAGGACGATTCTGCTGCTGTGTTCATGCCCCAGTTGCCAAAAGCCTGGGGGCACCTCACCATTGATCCTGCCTCATATCCCCAGCCCTCCATCCTGCGCTGTGACCCCAGCTCTCAATGTCCCCAGCCCTCCATTCTGCCCTGTATCCTCCACCCTCCACCCTGTGCCGTGACCCCAGCCCTCCATACTGCACCATGTCCCACCCCTCCACCCTGCGCCGTGTCCCCAGCCCTCGTGTCACTGCTGGGGACAGCAATGGAGGCTTCATGCTTTCCTCCAGGCACCGATTAGAACACGGAGCTGAGAACACAAGGGCTGTCCCTAAAAGCTCCCCAAAATCCCCATTTACTGCTCAGGACCTAACAGCCAGGCAGGGTTCAATCCAGGGGACACATCCCAGAAGGGGACAGTGGCACCAGGTGCAGGGGGAGAAGCCAGGCGTCTCTATCAGGATGGGGATACGGAAGAGAGGGAGGACCCCCGGGGCTGGAGGAGAGCCCACCAGGGACCCCTTTGCCTGCCCCAGCCCAGCCCACAGCCCAGCCAGGCAGCACAGGGGAAGGCACGACACCCCTCAGCCCATCTGTGCCACACCAGGGATGCAGGAGGAGCCAAGCCCCTTCCCACACAGTTCTGGCAAGCCCTGCCATGCAGCCCCTGCCAGCACTGCATCCACGGAGCCCCCCGGGCTGGAGGGGCCGGGGGCTGGTGCACAGGCAGGGACACGGTGGTTGCTCAAGGGCTTGTTTGCTCAGGAAGGGTTTGGCCATGGCCACACGTGACCCCACGCTCAGCCTTTATGTAACCACCTCCAGCATCCGGCACCGAGGCCCTGGGCTCTGCCCTGGGCTCTGCCCTGGGCTCGCTGCTCCCTGTCAGCTCAGCCCTGCCCTGGGGGGCAGAGACCCCCACCCTGCTCTGACCTCCCACTGCTGTTCAGTGCTGCAGGGTTGGGGCTCCTGGTTTCCCTTTCATTGCCTTCCCAGGCTCTGAGTCCCTGCCAAGCAGCTGCCGGAGCAGCTTCCCAGGGACCTTCCAGCTGCTCTCACTTCCCCAGCAGCACGGGTGCTCTGCTGCAAACAGGGGAGCTTCCTCCTCCTCGGTGGAACTGCTGCCTTGGGGCTTCCTCACAGCCCACATTAAGCAGTCCCCAAATATCCTGCACAGCTCCTGCTTGATTTTTGCCTCCCAGATGGAGCAGGGGCTCTTTGAGTGGGTTCCCTGCTGAGATGGGGGCAAGGAGGCTCCCTGTGCACGCTGTGCTTGTTCTGCTCACTGGGCTCACTGGACTACTTGGGTCTCACTGTGTTCCCTGTGACTCCCTGGGGGCTCGCTGGGCTCCCTCTGACCCCTGGGTTTGCTTGCCCTGGAGCACACAGACCCCCCCCCCCCCGTTTTTCTGCTGCACCCCTATGGCTCTGCACACACCCCCAGGGCTGCACACACCGGGATTTGGGGCTGGCATCCCATGGGATGGGGGCCATCACTGCCTCCTCCTGTGGCAAACGCAGCAATCCCCAAACCCACAGGTCATCCCAGACACCTCACCTCATCCCTGACAGCTTCTTTTGGGGTTACTGCTACTCCAGGGCTCCCCAAGAGCAAAGGCAGCTCTTTTCCCAGTGACACGGGGTCCAGGAGGGAGCTTGAGCTGCAGCCTTTCCTCCTCCTCCTCCTCAGCCAACTCAGTATAGCCACTGGTGGCACCCGCTCTGAGAAAGCCTTTTTCACCAAAACTGGGTCATTCTAACCTAAATCATGGGTTAGAAGGCAGCAGAAGGAACCCCTCGCCATGTATTTTCACCAAAGCAAAATTACACCCCCACAAGCGGGAATTACAGGTGGGAAAAGGGAGGGGGGACAATCACCCCTCCGTGGCACACAGAGACCCCCAGCACGTCACTCACCCCTGTGGCGGGTTCTTGTCCAGCCACCCCGCTCTGATGGTGGGTGACAGCGGGGCGGTGGCACCGGTGCCCTCCATGCTGTCACCGCCGGGGACGGCGCCGGGCGCGGGCGGGCGCGGGCTGGGGTCCCTGTCACTCCAGCTGCTGCTGCCACTGGGCACGGGGAGCCAAGGGAGGGGGTTAAGAGCTGGCGGGTCCCGGGAGGGGCTGAGGCTCCCCCCCGCCCGCCTCAGCCTCCCCGTGCCCTTCCCCGAGGCACAGGCAATGCAGGCGCCGGCTGTGTGTGAGCGGGGACATGGACACAGTGGGGTCCCGGCACATCCCCCAGCTCCTGGAGCAGCCCCGGCCTGGGTCCCAGCCCCGGGAGGGAAGGACAGGGCACTCCCGGGACCACGACCCCAACCCGGCGACGTGCAGAGCTGCTCTCTCTGCTCGCACGCACACGCGTGTGCTCCCCCACGCGGGTCCTGCGCGCGCACACGTGGAGCTGTGCGCACACGACAGGCCCTGACCCGTGCGCTCCCGTGGACAAGCGCTCTGTGCCCGTGCTCACAGACACCCCCCACGCGAGCACCCCCTGGCACATGCACACACAGCCCCTGCCTAAACACACGCACACACACAGAGTGTCACCAGCCACGCGCACACGCGTGCACACGCGTGCACACGCGTCCCGTCCGGGCACACACGCGTGCGGCCCCTGCACACGCATCCCCAGCGGGTCACACGCACGCAGACACATTCCCTGTGCATGTGTCCCTGCACACACACACGTCCCCTGCCCTCACACACGTCCCCTGCCCACACACACGTCCCCTGCCCGCACACACGTCCCCTGCCCGCACACACGTCCCCTGCCCGCACACACGTCCCCTGCCCGCAGCGTGGCAGCCCAGCTCGTACTCAGCAGGGGACACCTCGGGCTGGTCCTCGCCGAGCTCGTCGTCGCTGAAGAGGCTGTTGAAGCGCAGGGACCGCGGCCGCCCCGTCCCAGGCTCGGCATCCTCCTGCAGGGACACACACGCAGGTGATGCCCGGGGTCCCCACGGTGCCCCCCTGCACCGTGAGGGACGGGCACGGGTGACACGTGGGGTCCCCTTGGTGAGGGTGCAGGGGGACTAAGGGAGAGGGGACACGATGCCGTGTCACCAGCGCTGGCTGGCAGGTGCCCACAGTGGCAGGGTGCCCAGGAAGGGACACGCTGGGGCCCGCGGAGGGAAGGGAAGCGCAGCCAGGGGAGGAGCTGAACACCGGGAGGGTTATTTATAGCAGCTAAAAATGCCGGCGCTTATCAAGAAATCCGACATCTCCCCCTCCTCGGCCACAGCGTTCCCAAGCAGAGGAGAGCGGGGGGCTCCAGGCGCTCACGGGGATCTGCGGCTGCTGGGATCCCTCAAATCCATCCGTTCCCACCCCAGGGAGCGGGGGGGGCGGGCAGATAGAAGCTCCCAGTCGAGGGCTTGAATTGAGGATGCAGTGCCGGAGGTGTCCGCTAGCATGCAGCCTGGGCACGTCAGTGTGCCAGGGCATGCACAGCTGCGGGGGCTCTGCGGAGAGCCCGGGGGACACAGTGCGTGGGGGCTCCCCGGGAACCCTCGGGTTCCAGCACCGCTGACAGGCAGGTGGGTACCTCCGAGGGACACTGAAGGACCCAGCGGGTGCTTCTCGGTGACTCTGGGGTTCCGACCCCCACGGGAGACCTGGTGGGTGCTCCCTGGGGACCCTGGCGTTTCGGCAGCACTGAAGGACCTGGTGGGTGCTTCCCAAGGATCCTTGTGACCCTGGGGTTCCAGCAACCCCCAGGAAACCCGGTGGGCGCTCCCCGGGGACCCTTGGGAGAGCCGGTGGGTGCTCAGCAAGGCACAACCCCCTCTCCAGGCACTGCCGACGTGCTTCTCCAGCCCTAACCAGTATCCCTGGAGCATCCCAAGGCCAGCACCTCTCCTCGGGACAGTTACTAGCTCCTGCCCACCTCCCACCCCGTGGTGGGACCAACCTTGGCCATCTCCCCCACGGGTCTGGCTAATTCCTCCTCCCAGGCTGAGTCCTCGTAGTCCGAGTCATCTGACAAAGGAAAGGGAAGATGCTGGGAATCAGCTGGGGTGGAGCAAGGGGTCCCATCCCCCCCTGCCACCCCAGAGCCTGTGGAGAGGATGCCAGCATGGCTGGGCTGGCTTCCCCCTTGCTTTACCCTTGGCAAACAAACCACACCATTCCTGTGACAACAAGGGTTTTATCGAGGAGTTTGGGGAAGAGCTGGGAAAGGGCAAAGTCCCACTAGTGGCACCTCCCGGCACTGTCACGACCCTCCTGGCTTTGCCTGGGGGGGGGACTTGGTGCCACCAGCCCCAGCACCACGGCTTTGTCCAGGCTCTCATGTCTCTACCGGGCAGCTCCTGCTGCTGAGGGGTCCCAGGGGCTTCTCCCACATCTTGTTTTCCAGGGTGGATTCCCCTCCCTCCTCCTGTATTCCTTATCAGCTCACGAGCTTGTGCACCCAGGGAAACGAGATCCCGGAGGAGGATGGGAGCGAGGAGATGGTTCCTCCTCACCCAGCACCCACAGCAACAGGACTCCTGGCCAAGACTGTAACCCCGCAGGGAACAAGTGGCCCCAGATAGCCTGGCCCTGGCAGACACCCACTCCCAAATCCCACTGAGAACCTGGAGCAGATTCCTCCCAAAATGGCAACCCAGGTGACGCTCTTTGGGCACTGGCAGCAGGCAAAGATGCTGCCAGGCTGCAGGAGGTTGAGGGGTGCAGGTAGATGCTTGCCTTGGCACCAGGGACCCCCTCTGCAGACTCTGCATCCCCAACCCACCCAGGCATGGGCTGGGAGCAGCTTTCCTCCCTGCAACCCCACGACAAACAGATAAGCTCATGTCCACGGCTTCTCCCAGCTTCTGAAACACAGCCCAGCTCTCAGTTCAACCAGTGCCACTTCCTGGAGGGCCGCTGGCCCTGAGCAGGCACCCAGGGCCCCGCAGAGCTCGGCCCTTCTTCTTTCCAGCAGAGCTATTCCAGCTGAATTAGAGTCCAACCAGGGCTGCACCCCTCCGTGGGGGTCAGCATCACCCCCTGCAGCTGGCTGAGCTCCGGGGACCCCCCGAGGAGAGGGCTGGGGGATGCAAAGCCATGGTGCTGGGACCCCAGAACCAGGGACACGCAAGGGGGCCCACATTTCACCCCCTTGTTAGGTTCACTTTTCCTCCATGAATGCTTACAGGGGCTCCCAGCACCCACAGACACATTCGCTCTCCCCTAAGAGAGGCTGCACCCAAAGCCCCAGCCCAGATCTTGCACCCCCTGAAACCCTCAGCCCAGATCTTGCACCCCCTGAAACCCTCAGCCCAGATCTTGCACCCCTGACACCCCCAGCAGGCAAGGAAGGGGACAGAGGAGAGAAGGATCCCAGAGGGACAAAGTGGCAGGGGAGGAAGGCACAGCACCCCCAGGTTGAACGCTGATGGATGGGTACCCAGCTATCCCAAGGGAAGCTCTGGGACGGGGGAAGGTTGGAGGGCCCCCCCGGTACTCACCGAACTCGGGCACGAAGGGCAGGCTGGCCTTGCAGGGCAGCTCCGGGGGCAGCAGGACGGGCGGCTTCGTGCGGGGCAGGGGGGACAGTGGGGACAGGGGGACACCGGGTGTTCTGTCAGGGATGGGGACCTCCTCTTTGGCAGGGGTGCTGCAGGAGAGAGGAGGAAGTGCTGCCTTATGCCAGCCCCTGCCCCGCTTCCCAAACCCCCACACCCCAGCAGCCCTCAACGGGGGGTCCCAGAGTGCAAGAGGAACCCCCGAAGGGACCAAACCCCAGCAGACCCAAACCCACAAACCGATTCCTAAGAGACTCCACGGCAAAGCCTTCCCTGTGCTGGGGTTACGCCGCCGCTTTTCTATCCTGGAACTGTTTTCCTGGCATCCAACCTCACTCCCCTGTGTCTGCTCTGCAGCTCAGGATCCTTATCTGGCTCCGGGACACCCCAAGCCGCCCACAGCCTTGAAGCCCCGTCCCAGAGCAGATTGTTTTCTCTCCTCCAGTCTAAACAATGGCGGAGCCGCTTCCTTGGCTGGTATGCAGGTGGCCACAGGGTCCCCTGAGCAGGATGGGGGGTGCTGGGAATGTTCCATGCCACCAGGGTCCTCGCAGTGGGGCAGACGCTGGAGATGTGGGGTGGCTGCCGGGGCAGCAAGAACCCCTGGAAATGGAGCCTCTCCACAGTCAGTGAGCCATCAGCACCCCACTGCTACTGGAGAGGGGGAACCCTGGTGCCTCCCAGCCCCACGGCTGGTGCACGAGAGCTTTCCCCAGGCTTGGGGCTGAGCCAGAAAGGAAACCTCCCTGGCTGGAGCAGGAAGCAGAGGAGGACGGGAGCGCTGGCTGTCCCTGGGTCAGCCTGACCTCATTTCTCAGCAGTATTTCCATGGGAACCAGCCACAAACCATCCATACATTAGGGAATGCTGGCAGGGAAGGAGGGGAGCGTGGGCAGGGGAGCGTGGGCAGGGGAGCCCAACAGGATTGCTCCTAGCACTGCCAGGCAGTGGCTGCTGAGGCACCCGAGGGTGTGGGGACCCAGGGACAAGGAGGTGGCAGTGCACAAGCCACAGAGGGCCTGGCAAGAGCCCGGCTGGGCTCTGCATCTGTGCAGCCCCTGCTCTGGGGCTGGGAGGCTGCAGCATGAGCCCCACGACCACCAGGGAAGCAAGCCCCAGGCCAGGAAAACCTCCATCTCCTGGCTGGGGACACCTCAGGAGGGTTTCTGGCCAAGCCCCCGTCCTGCCACCCCAGGGACACGCAGGATGGGCACTCATAGAGCCCAGGCACAGATAACACCCCAGTTCCCCAAAACAGCCTCCCCACTGGTGTGCCCTCTCTCCACGTCATCCTCTGGTGCTGTAGCATCCCTGGGCTTCATGTCCCCCCATGGCTCTGTGGGGCAGTGTAGGTGCCCCATCACCCCCTGCCCCCCCATGCAGCCGTGCCCAAGGGATGTCCCTCCTGCTCCAGGCAGGGCCTGGCCAGTGCCACATCTGCCATTAGAGAAGTGGCAAACGGTGCCTTATCTGCTGTCCCCTATCTGGGCCTCTCCCCCCAGGAGGGCAGCAGGGGAACTGCTCTCCCACAGGCAACACCACCTCAAAGCCAAACCTCAGCCCAGGCCACCGCCCCTGCCCAGTTTGTCCAGCCCTCCCAGAAGGAGTCTTCTGTCATCACCTCCTTGGACATCATTCACTGCCCTCCTACAACCCCCTCGGGGTTCAAACCCCCCCCCCCTCCAGCTGCTCAGGGAGCTGCTCTGCACCCAGACCACTCCCTGAGCATGGAGAGGGGGTGCCCTCCCACCGACAGCCTCACCACACCATCGGGGTGCAGACGTGAGCACCCACTGCTGCTGGGACCCTCGTGGGGTCTGTAGGTCTGAGCCATCAGTGGCCAAAATTTAGGGGCTCACAGCCCCACTGCTGGCACAAATGCAGAGCTGGCGAGAGAGAGCTCCTGGTGCTGAACACGGCTGCTGGCATTATCCCGTGGGAGGTGGCATCGCTACACCCCGCACCCAGCAGGGCTGGGATGTTCCCATCACCTCCCGGGGCTGGGATGTTCCCATCACCTCCCGGCACAGGGCTGCTCGGGGGTGGCCCAGCATTTGGGAGGACGGTGAGACCCTGGAGGTGAACGTGGCCTGGAGGAAACCACAGCATGTTCTGCGAGCAGCCGTGGGGAAGTGCCGGGGACCACGGCAGCACCGCCGGAAGCGAGGGGAGCTGGGGGGGGTGAGGGGTGGCGTCACCCCAGAAACGCCCGGGTCTCGTGCTCCGAGGGACCTCCCCTGCGGGCACTCCCACCTCCACGGGGGGTCATGGTGGGGGGCTCACCCCCCCCAGAGACAGGGCCACCAGGGCCAGACCCACCCAGCTGCCTCACTGTCCACTGGCAAAGAACCAGAGCCCTGCACCAGCCTGGATGCAGCGAGCATCACCCTGGGCTGGGCAAGTACCATCCAGACATGGGCAAATATCAC